CTTCCTCCCACCCCCAACCCACTGCCTCGGGCCTGGGGCTCCCTTTGAGCCTCCTGGTCTCCCGCCCCCTGGCCAGCAGCCCTGACCCCTGGATGGGCACCCGTGGTAGGCTAGGCCTGCTGCAGGGCGGCAGCTGGGCCCCAGGGGACCACAGAAGCCTTTACTCCTCCCTGGTCTGGACACCGGGAGGGTCGTCCCAGGACTCCCCGGGAGCCTATCTGCTTCAGCCAGCGTTCCTTGCCCGTAACCAACGCCTCCGTGTGTTCAAAGACAGTAGTTACCTGGGTGGTGAGCTTTCTCACCTTCCAAGTAAAACACCTCGGTCCCTCTGGCCTTTGTGTGGCAGAGTGCAAGACCCACCCATGTGGAGGCACAGCAAACAGAACCAGCTGCCGGCTGCAGTGCCTGCCTATGGCCCCAGCAGCTCGGAGGCTATGGCAGGAGGATCGAAAGTTAGAGGCCAGCCTCAGCAATTTAGCAAGGCCCCAACCAACTTAGTGAGACCCTGTCTCAAAATAAGAAAAGATTCAGTGCCCCTCAATTCAATCTCCAGTACAAAAAATAAAAAAAAAAGAAGAAGAAGAACAAAACCATCTGACAGGGAGGCGTCCTCTAATCATCTCAACACTCCGTCTGCAGGCTGCTTCAAGTGGAGTCAATTCAGCCCCTTGCAGCATCAAGACAGCAAGAGACGGGCTGCTGTGGGGCTGGGCGTCGAGGCTCACCCAGCCTCCTGTATCCCTCTTCAGATTCACTCTGGGCCATGAAAGGGGACACCTAGGAGGGACATCGTTTCCAGGGAGGGTCCGGTGGCTCTTAGTTCATTTAGAGCTGTGCAGCGGTCACCACCAGGTGCCTGCAGGTGATCCTCACCACCCAGAGGGAACCTCCTTCCTGGGCCTCCCTCCCCCCGGCCCTAGGCAACCAGCTCTGCCTCTGCTGAGCTCTGTCCCCGGGATTCCGAGTGGAAGGGATCAGAATGCGTGGCCTTTTGTGACTGGTCTCTTTCATTTATGTTCTCAAGGCTCGTCCCTGTCCCGTGTATCAGGTGGTTGACATTTGAGGGGCTTCCAATGGGGCCACTTTGAATAACTTTGCTGTGGACATTTAAGAGCGAGTTTTAGTGGCACATGCCTGTCATTTCCCTCAGGTGTGAGCCAGGGGTGGACTGGCCGGCCACACGGTGACTTCTTACGTAGCATTTGAGGAAACACCGGGCGCTTACCAAAGCAGTGGCGCCAGCCCCAGCAGCTGTGTAGGAGAGCTCCTGTGTCCCCATGTCCTGGCTGACCGCTGGCGGCGTTAGTGCTTGTCTTTTTATCACCACCTTCCTGGTGTGTGCAGTGACATCTCGTTGTTCTAATTCACATTTCCCTAATGGTGATGGATGTGGAACTTGTCATCGGCTTTAGAGTCTGTGACAGGCTGCAATCCCAGCTGCTGGGAGGCTGAGGCAGGAGGATCGTGAGTTCAAAGCCAGCCTCAGCAACTGTGAGGCCCTAAGCAACTCAGTGAGACCCTGACTCTAAATAAGATATAAAGAGAGTGGGGACGTGGCTGAGATTAAGCGCCCCTGGGTTCAATCCCCAGTATGTATGTATAAATGAATGAA